AATAGGATGTTCTATAATGTAGAAGGGTAACTGGATTTCTGTGGCATGTGTGGTGATGGAATTTTTTAATTGCATGATGACAGGATCATTTTCCATAGGACGTGCACCTTGTTCAGTGTTCCAGTATTCACCCAGTGAGCTGCTATGCAGCGCTTAGTCCATTCTTTCTGAATGCTGTCTCTTTATCCAGCAAAATCTATTCCTTCTCCCTATGTTTTTATCAAGTCTTATTGTGTGCTGACAAGTAACAGTTTCCTTGGTTAGTTCCCATCCTCGTATCTTACTTATCTTTTATGTAGTCTTAAATTTATTCCCTTCCATAAAGACTGAGGCCTAGCCTCAATTTTTTTGCTCAGCCTATCCTAAGCTTAGATGCTTTCCTAACCTAGCCCTCATCTTGCGAGAGCTTTTCCTGAGCATTCTTCTCTTTTCTGTGGGCTTTTTTGCTTCTATCCTCATGTCACATGATCTTTTCCATTTGTACTGGAAGCCAATGGGATACCCGTTTCTCAGGTTCTTCCCGTGACTTTTCAGGTTATGGAGAAAGTGTAAACGGTCAGTATAAAGGCACAGATGTACATGCAATAAAATCACACAAGGGAACCATAAAATTTACAGCCTGTTCAACCACGAACATCAGAAAAATCTCAAACGTGCATATGCAAACAAGCGTTAGCATAGGGGTGGACATGGCACATCTCTGTCATGCTTTCAAGCTGAATAATGGCAATACTAGTTTTGGGGTCTTTTTCCTGATTGTTTAATGTGGAAACCAGAAGGAATTATGCTCTTTTGCTCCATTCTAGCATAACACAAAGGAACCAAGGGAAGGGGGGAGGGCAGTCACCAACAGTGGCTATTCTATTGTTTTATCTCAAAAACTTGGCAAAGCAACAAGCTAGACACAGCTGAAATGCGCTGGCTAAAAATTTCTCAAAGCTTTCATCTGAGACAGACACAAACCTGCCTAATACTATCATAGAGAAAGTTTGTCAAAGCCACGGATACCTGAAAAAGGGTTCCATACTGCAAAATATTAGTAATTTTTTAAATTACATGTAAGAAACATGTAAAACATTACCAGCATTGCCTAAAATTCTGATACGCACAATTTTATGCATACCATGCGTGAATTATAAATTAACGGTATACTCTAAATGCATATTTTGGGTTGGGGTTGTTTTTTTGTGGTTGGTCAAGGAATGCTTCCTTGATTTTGGTATTTTTAGACATCATTTGATTTCAAAACAGATCTACAAAAATTGTCTCAGCTCAAACATGATCTTCCGTATCGGGGAAATCAGAAGTTGGGGTGTTCTTTGTTCATGAGTTTGCATTTGAGATTTTGTTTATTTTTTAAATCCTTTCATGGCTCATTTGCCATATCAAGTCAGAAAGAAATCCCCGTCCTAACAGACTTCCCTCCGTTTTCTGTGATCAAAAAGCAGTTATATTTTATTGTCTTGAGGAAGGTAACGGAAAAGGATCTGGGCATCCTTGGGGCCATAAAATTGAACACGGGCCAAAAACGCTGTAGTGCCCTTGCTGAAAAGGTGAATGGTATCCTGGGTTGCAGGAGGCAGGTCGAGGCAGGGGGATCCCTGCCCTCTGCTCAGCACTGCTGAGGCCAAACCTCAGCAGGGCTGTGCCGAGTTCTGGGCTCCCCAGTATGGAAGACACGAACACATTGGAGAGAGGGCAACAAAGAGCCACAAAGATGACAGAAAATAAAGCATCTCTCCTAGAAGGAAAGGCTTAGAGAGCTGGGACCGTTCAGCCTTGGAGAAGAGGCAGCTCGGCGGATCTCAAACACCTGTATTAACACCTGCAGGGAGAATGCCAAGAGGACGGAGCCAGGCTCTTCCTAGCGGTTTTAGTCCTTCTTCCGGCAGGGCTTAGCGGTCACAGGAGCTACGCTCCTCCCGTATACTACCGCCGCTCCCAGCCTAAGCCACAGCACCCTGACACGATCCTACCCTCTATTCGCGCAGTGGAGTATTTTGAAGCATTTCCAAGCTCCGCTTTACCCGAGAGGCACAGAAATGGGTGGGCAGGGGGGTTTGAGGCCTCCCGGAGAGGGCGCGGTGCCGGTCCCGGAAGGAGGGGGTGACGTGCCGCCGCCGCAAGAGGCTATGGCGGAGGCTCCGCCCGCGGCGTCGCGGGGATTCCTCAGGGCGGGG